ATAATAAATTCTATATTTATCTTTATTATTGAAGTAGCACAAATAAGTTTTTTCCAGGTTTATAAGCCTCTATCGAGGTCCGGAAAACCTTTTCCTTCGTTACCACTTTATATCTCTTGTCATTCTCGCTAAAACGCATCAGACCAACTTGGCCAATGACCTGCTCAAATGTGCACACCAGATATGCGGATGAATCCTGGTCATCATCCAGCTCCACTATGGGCATCGTCTTGTCTTTGTCGTCAACAGCATGAGTCTTTCCCAATCGAATAAGCAAAAACAACTCATCGCCAATCCCCTTAATTTCGAGCTTGAACATGAAAATAACAGCCCCTACATAGAAAGCTTTGACTTTGCGACGAGAGTTACTGTAGGAAATTCAGACGTCAATATGGGTTTTGATGAGTAACGATAAAGGCAATAATGAACCTGTGAATTGACATACCTCAAGTGTTCTGCCCATATCATGATGTAGTGGCTTCCTCTAGAATTAGCACCGGTGAGATCGCGATAATACTCTGAAAGATACGTGCAGTTGTAAGCCCAGGCACTTCCAGAGACGACAATATCCAGTTGATCATTGATATGGACATTCTGCAGAACATTAGTCGAGTATTGCCGGTCGTAGTAGAACTGTATAGCCTTGACAAAAAGACGTTTGTTGATGTTGATGGAGGTGGAGATATTTGAAACCGTTGTGTGGATGACTGGATACCAGAGCTGACTTCCGTTGCCATTGTCATTCTTCAGATTTACGAAGGTAGTTGGATCGTATCGTCGAGGCACTAAGAGATTGATTCGAGCATCCAGATCATTCAGTTTGTCTTCACCATCGCCTGTACCATCATCAATTGTAGATGCCTTGATGGCTCGCATAATTGCCAAACGATCAATGACGTTTCCGGCATTTATACCAACATTTGTGCGAGCACTTATCAAGCGTTTGTACCTACCGATGGATCTTTCGATAGATCGACTGGAAGTCGGAGCCGGTAAACCTTGCGCTTTGATCATGTAAGTCAAGTGTCCTAAATAATGGGCGTTTGGGCGAAGGGTCTTGATAGGAAGGCGTTTGGCTTTGATTTCAGTGATCAACAGTTTGTGCCAATCTTTAACCTTACTGTGCAGAGATAGAAAGAAGTGAGTTGTTAGTCTGTGAATAAAACGGGGTTTATTATTCAAGATGCCAATACTTACGCTTCTATGAATTGTAAGTCTGAAGCATGCAATTCATTCTTCTGCAATACCAAAGCTGCCACTTTAACGATACCCAGAAGAGGTTTTCTGATTGAGTCAGGATAGTGTGGTGCTATCAGGGCTGGAACAATGAAAATCATGAACTCTTCATAGTCAACTGCTCGGTAGTTGGTAACTCCTCCTGGTGCAAAAATGTCGTTGAATGGTGCATTGAAGGTAGTTGGAATGGTCTTCTTTGACTGAGCCACATACTGACCGATCTTTGCCAGAACTTTGGGATCTAAATCAAAGGTGTAAGGCCAGGCACTTGCTTTATCAAGCTTTGCTTCTTTCAGTTCTTCGATAGAGGGCTTGTATCGGTTATCAAACTTGGATGGATGCAATGGAGAAGACAAGAGCTCGTACAAATGCTTAGCTAATCCAATGCTCAGTAGGTGAAGTGTGTCGAGACCGTAGAACGATGGGTTGGCAGGAAAAGACTTGAGAGTGGTAAATATGGATGGTCCTTTGATGTTCTATAGAAGAGATGATGGTTGGTACAAGAACTATACATGATTGTTTAATGAAATCGCTTCACTTACAAACACATGTTTTACGCCAACAGGCAGTGGTGCTTTCAATTGTTCGAGAGTTCTGTATTGGAAATTTCTGATTGTGCGAGTAAAGCATTGACCTCCTTGTGTGTCTATGAGGCACTTCATACAGCCAAACTGACTGGAGACTCCTCCATGCAACATCAAATGTGATACTTCTACAAGATCGCCTGTCGCCATTGCCAAATGAACGCTTACTCGGGCAACTTCACCACCATTCACTCGAACCAGCATGCCGTGTTCACTAAGATCACGAACTTCGTCCACAAAAATAGCCAAGTAGCTTTCAAGATCTACTGGAGCCTTCTTGCCGGATGCAATCATTGTCTGAACGGTCCAGTCATCCAAGTATCTGTGGGTTGGTAGACATAAATACAATATCGTTAGTGGTTAAAAATAATAATTATAAAAGAAAATATATCCTAATAACATTTCTCAGACGCCGAGTACCTCGGAATATAAAATATAGAGGGGAGGTAACCCCAGATATCCTCAGGTATACTGAAGTACACTTTATGAACGTCTCACACTAATTATTCGCATATGCGAACATATATAGGTTAGAATATGGTAAACAACAGGGATAGTGTAAGTAAATAAAAAAAAGGGGGATACATCGGGATTAATGTTAGGGTAATACCCCGTCTAGGGTTAGGGGGACAAAAAAAAGTCAGAAATATTGAGAACGAATTATACTGATAGAAAGCTGACGCAATCTAAAGACAGAACAGTATTTGGAACCTAGCAGTTGGCCCATTGGATGACGAGATATACGAGTTTAAAATCCGGAAAGCTGAGAACGTCTCACATTAAAAGTCGTTAAAAACAAGACCAGTTGCGCTGAAACTAACCAGATAAACACGTAGAGCCTGTATAATTGTATTAAAAATTTTAAAAAAAGCACTTTAGACTTATTCCAGAGAGTTAATATGAGATTTGCGTTGATGCATTTTTTCACCCTTGTCAAAGCCAAAAACGCGTTTAATGTGGCCGTATAAGGCTTGGACTAATAGCTGAGGCTTCCAAATAAGTATGCATGCTTTGAATCAAGAGTATTTATTTAGTAGATGCTGAGATATACGCCTTCAAAGTTACGGTGTTTTAGGCTCTGGGGACAGGAGCTTGTAAGTCTGCGAATTTTGCTTTCACTGCTTTCAAATCTAGCCAGATGGTAGCTGGCAACTGGAAAACGCTACCAGCGTTTTAAAATCTTAAAAACGCATAAGCAGGACTGGATATATTTGTGTTTGAAAATCGTCAAAAAGGCTTGGACTGGGCGCTTGATAATTCATACAAGACTGAAGTTACTTCATTACAGACCCCTTTTAAACGCCTTAAAATGGCTTTATAAGACCTCCCGTAGCCATCCCTCATGACACTTTTTGGAAAAATGACTTAGTAAAATTTTATTTTCTCAAGGCCAGACGTCTGACAAAATAACTCCATCAAATCGTGTTTAATTAAGCTGAAACTTGTTCAGAAGGTGTCTGTCACGCTTATCAGTTGATTAAAGACCTCACAATTGGTAGCTCTCACTTGTTTCTCAGAGTTAACCAAAGGTTTGTTTACATGTATTTGTTCACTTTATTCAAGGTTGTTGTGCCAGAAGGGCTACAACTGTCTATAAAGATTAAGGTATTCTTGATGGGTAGATATGTCTGTGTTGTGCAACAACATGGACAAGCTATGATAAGTGAAGTGCATCTCAGCTATCTAAATACTGAGGTTCACCAGATGTGATAAGCGTTGTACAAGATAAATTGCTACTTTGGCATTCAGAACTTAGTATAAATAGAATAACTCTTGTCTTCATCAATAAATCTTTAGTTTTTGTGTCTGATCTTATTCAAATAAGTCTTTTCTTGTTTTTAAAATATCGAACATTTTTTATAAGCTACAAATAATAATCCTTTTATTCTTTGTGCTTAACAATGGTAAAATACGTTCTTAATGTGGCCGTTTAAAGCCTGATCTAATAGCTAAAACCTATAAGTAGCTGTACACACTTTGAAAAAGCAAGATTCATCAAGTAGATGCTGGGATATAAGCCTTCAAATATTATGCTTTAGGCACTAGAAACTGGAGAGCGTTTTAAAATTTTAAAACGCATTACTAGAGCGGGAGATATCGTCGTTTAAGTGTTTTCAAAATGGTACCTCAGGTACCACGGGTAACATGGGTATCATGCTAAAAGCCAATCAGAACAAGGGCAAATGATACCTAAGAACAGGATATTCTAGCATATAAATTAGGGTAAGAAACAGGGATAAAAAAAAGGGTTGAAAACATACAGTAGCTGAAAAACGCCATACATATGAACAGATCGTTATGACACCTTGATTAGGGCCAACATTTTGTTTGTTGCTATAGAGAACTGTGGGTCTGCTGGCTTGCGAAACTATCTGAATACAATTAACAACGAAGGTGGATTGTCCCGCATTGTATTTGATGAAGTTCATTTGTCAATTACAGCCAGTTCATGGCAATTTGCGATGTCATATGCATACACTATGCGTCAACACAAGGTCCCAGTAGTCTTATTGAGCGCCAAAGTACCACCGACTATGGAAAAGGACCTAATAACATTTCTGGGCGACTCACGCCGTGAGTCGCCCAGAGATGGTACCTTAGGTACCATGGGTACCATGGGCATCATGCTAAAAGCTAATCAGAACAAAGGGCAAGTAATACATAAGAATAGGATATCCTATTATTACAGGTATCATTTGAATGGCCAATCAGAAGCAAGACTCACGGTGCTTGGGTACCATGATACATGAGGTATCATTCCTAATAACATTTCCCAAACACCGAGTACCTCGGTGTTTGAGAAATAGGGGAAGGTAGCCTAAGATAGCCGAAGATAGCCCAGTTCGCGTATGCGAACTTATAGAAAATGATATCCAGTTATTATCTCACCAGAGATTGCTTCACTGAGCGGTCTCATATATACCACTACATAGAACGTGCTCTGGAATAATCAGTAAAAAAAAATGGTTTGAAATCATTATATCATTAAACTGTTATAATCAATTTCAGTTTTACTATTAAAAAAAATATAGAAAGCTCTGAACAGTAACGAGAGAGCACCAACCAACTTATAAATATGCTATCACCAAAGGAACATACAGGAGGTCACCTAGAGCGTGGGAAATCTTGACGTGAGTGGATCTCATGGACTCGTTTATTATTCTGGCTGCCGGGAGGTCGCTAAACTTGGGCTGGTGGTATTTGGAATACAGTAACAGTGTTTAGAACGAAAGTGTTGACTGCGTGGCCACCGTTGATTTTGGGGCAATCTCTTTTGAAATGGGTACTGTCTCCACAATAGAAGCAAGAACGATTCTGGTTACAACCATCGCGTTCTTCCTTGCTGATTCTACTAGATTGATTTGGTTTTGGATCAATATCCATGGGAGATGGCGGCGAACGGGTGATGGTGTTGTTGTTATTGATGTGACGACGCTCTCGTGGTCCCTTAATGAGCTTGTTGTCGATATCGATGGCTTCAAAGATTAACGACTCCAACGATGCGGGTGTTGGCCGGCGTGCCAATTCGTTCTGGATGGCTTGGGACAGGTTGACTTTAAATTGCAACATGAGAACTGCATCATTCCACTCCACTGCTTGGGCGTACATTCGGAAACGCGTGGCGTAAATAGAAACTGACGTATTGTCTTGTCGTAGTCGTCTAAGTTGCGTTTCAGCGGTGGCAATTTGACAAATGCGTTTACGAGGTTGGCCTTGAAGGTGTCGTAACTAGTCAGAATATCTGGTTTTGGGTGTTGGTTCAATTGTGCAACAAAAGGTTCTAAAAACGTGAATGCGGGTCCAGACGTGCACGAAATGGCGAACATAATCTTCCTCTCGTCTGTGTTATAGGTGGTGTTCGCTGCGAAATATACTGCCAGTTGAGAGAAGAAGGTGCCGCATTGGCCAGGTTTGCCGTCGAACGGGGAGGGTAATCGAACCTTGATGTTTGAATCATTTGGGATATTTGAGCTTTTTTACAAATTATTGATTTGCTGTTGTTGAGTGGTCAAAGTATCTCGAATGCCTTGCAGTTGTGTCGGCAAAGTATCCTCTAGTGCTCGGAATTGTGAGATAACCTCGTGCAGGGTGTGGATCTGTTCCTCCGATAATGACATTGTTGTGTCTAATTCGTGACTTGGAAATTTTCGGGGGTTGAAAACTTCTGGGTGGCTTGGCTTCGGGTGGCTTGACTTTGGTGACTTGAAAAACGTACGTGGGGGTTGATTGGTAGATTATAGTGTCAAGAACTTGATTTCAACAGAGGATTTATTTAACAAACGATTATCTTGAAGTAAGTGAGAATAAGATACACAAGATAATCTACAACTGTCAAGGATGGAGGGGAAAAGGACATGATATTTATACTTGACAAGAGATGCGGACATAAATGCTGAGACATGGATATAGCATGGATAGACGTAATGATTCGTAATCTGAAACATGAGTCATAATTACATAATTATGGCATTGGCTTGATACTTGACGTTGATAGGTACTTGACATGATAAGGTTGCATAAAGCTTGGCATGACATAATGATTACTAATGATGACTAATCGATTACTAATGGCTATCAATTAGTACTCCTAAATCCTGAACACCGAGATGAGATAAGCATAAAGAAGACATAACACTTGGACTGCATGGTTCTAAATCCAGGTACCAGATCGAAGCTTGGTTCATGACAGGTTAATTAGCATTACACTTTCTTGATATGTTGTCATAAATCTTAAATAAGCCATCAACATCACTCATCAATAATGAAAAATAAAAATGGAGTAAAATGATGAACAAGATACAACTTACCATCGGCTTTCATTATGATACCCGACAAAACAAACGTTGATATAATAGGACAAAAAGAATGTACAAAGGGAAAAAAAAGGAGGGATTAGACAAAAAGTAAGAACACCACAGGAAGAGATTGGGATATTAGACAAAGAATATATATAAAAGAGGGAATGTGATAAAAAAATGAATAGTGACAATTAAAAGAAAAAATCAAAACAGAATAGAACAAAGCAACAATGAAAAGAATAAGAAAAGGTTGTGATACTAAGAAAAGAACGAAGAAGGGAAAGAATAAGACTGAGATAATAAGAAAAGAAGCAACAACAAGTATGGGAACGAATACTGGATAAACAAGGACCCGAAAAATTAGGAATTGAAATGATAAAAAATAAATACATAGAAAGAGAGAGAAATTGAGCAAAAATAATAAACAGAAAAGAATGCAAAAGAGTAAATAAAAGCAAAACAGATAGAAAAATTGAGACAGTTAAGAAAAAAAAGTACAAATAATAGACAAAATCAATAAAGGGAAGCAAAGAAACCCATGAAAAGACAGAATGTAATATATAAGACAAAGAAAAAAAAAAGATATATAAAAGGAGATGGTAGGAAAGCAAAAAGACGAAAGAAATGGAAGTAATGTAAAGAATAAGAAGCAAAGAAAAGAGTAAGAATAAATTGACAAAAAAAAAGAGAAATGAAGCAAAGAAAGCGAAAAGAGAAGTAAATCAAAAAAAAATAAACATGAAAGAAGAAAATAGGCAAAGATAAAAGAAAGGCGAAAGAAACAATGTCAAGGAAAGAAAACGCGATAAAGAAACAGAAAGGAATGAATAGAGAAAAAAAGTCGAAAAGAAAAAGGTTCCAGAAGGAGGATAAAGAATATAAGCAGAACAGAAAAGGGAAATATGAAGACAAAGCACAGGAAGAGACCGGGAGAACAAGCAAACAAAGAAAAAACGGAGAAGGAGAAACGCAAATATAAACAGAGAAAAGATATATGAAAAAAAGAAAGGTGGACAAAAACACAGACAGAGAAAGGGGGGTAGAGAGAACGGAAAGAGAGAATAACAAAAACAAAGTATATACAGATAGAAGGGAGAAACAAACAAGAAAAAAAGGAAAGGGATAGGGGATAAAATACAGAGACGAGGAAATGGAATAGGAAGAATTATAGAAAGAGAAAGGACGAAGAAACTACAAAAAAAAAATACACAGAAAAGCAGAGAAGAATAGACAAAAAAAAAGACAGAAAAGGGGAAAGGGATAGAGAAAAGAAATAAACAGAGTAGAAAGAAATAATAACAATAACAACAGAGATAAAGAAAAAAACAAGAGAGAATAAGAACAGTAAAGAAAAAAAAATAAATAAAAATAAATAAAAGAAAATAAAAAAGCGAATACATTACCATAGCGGAGCGGATACATTGATACAGCGGAGCGAATAAATTAACACAGCGGAGCGAATACAGTACCATAGCGGAAGGAAATACAATAACATAACGGAGCGAATACATTAAATCAGCAAATATCAGAATTGGTTAGAATTAAAAATAGAATTAAATACAAGAATAGATTTATGGACAACGTTAGAGTTATGATCAGCGACAGAAAAAGAATTAATATTAAGATTAAAAATTAGGGTTAAACTCTGGAATAAATTAGAAATAGAGTTAAAAATATGCATATGATTAAGATTAAGGAAAACATAAAAATAAATGTTATAGTTAAGATTATGGACATGAATAGGGATAGAATCAGGAATAGAAATAGGTTCAGGACTAAGAATATGTTAATGTCAAGAATAGGAATATAGTTAGAATATACATTACGAATAAGATTAGGATTAAACATATGTTAAGGAATAGGATTAAGAATAAGAATAAAGCTAAAATTAAGGATAGAAAATAGGACTACGATTAAAATTAAGGGTATGATTAATGTTATGATTAGGATTATAAGTAAAGTTATATTAGGATCAAAAATTATGATTAGGGTTAGTGTCAGTAATAGGATAAGGATTAGGGTTAGTGAAGAAGTTACGGTTAGGGTTAGGGCTAGGGATAGGGTTATGGATAGGATTAGGGTTAGGGTTAGGGTTAGGGTTAGAGTTAGGGTTAGGGTTAGGGTTAGGGTTAGGGTTAGGGTTAGGGTTAGGGTTAGGGTTAGGGTTAGGGTTAGGGTTAGGGTTAGGGTTAGGGTTAGGGTTAGGGTTAGGGTTAGGGTTAGGGTTAGGGTTAGGGTTAGGGTTAGGGTTAGGGTTAGGGTTAGG